TTAATTAATAAATAGGTACGTTAGTTATTATAAATATATATATTAGACTATTAATTATTAAAATTATAAGGATTATAATAGTTAATTAATTAATTCTATTATATGTTATATATCTAAGGTAAAAAATCCTATAGGAACAGGGAAATCCCCCTATTTCTTAGTTAGGAAATCCTAGGCTAATCCTGGCTATATAGTTAGTAAAATCACCCTAAAAGTGGGGCTATTTTACTGCCTATTCCCTAACAATTTGCCGTAGGGCAACCGTGTATTCGCTAGTTAATTTATGTGTAATTCCGCTACATTTAATAAGTATAGCTATTATAAAACGCTATAAACAGTAGGGCCTTAGAAGGCCTTAGGGACTAAGGCCTTAGGAAAGGGGATAATTATAAGGGTGTTAAGATAAAGGTTATATAAAAACAATAGTAAAACCTTAGTAATACGTTAGTAACCTCTTGCCTTTTAGCCTAGGCTAGAGGGGGAAAATCCTAGACTCTCTAGCTAAAAGGCTAGTTAATAGAATAGACCTACCTTCTATACTCTTCCTAGTTAAGGCACTTAGCTATATACCTTTATAACTTTATATTTTATATTATATTCTCTTTATATTCTATTTTTTAAGTTTCTAATAGTACTATAATATAATTAACTTAAGCTAAAAGGGAAAAAAAGTTTTTCTGTACTATATATCTTATATATATAATATAAAGTAAGTCTACTAACTAAGTGCTAACTAAGTATAAGTATCTATATTATAGTAAGTAAAGCCTTACTATATATATTATAGCTTTAGCCTATAATAGTTACTTAGGTAACTAAATAAGTAAATAGAAATAGTTTATAGTTACTATAACTATTATAATTAATAAAAAATTAATATTATAAATATTATTAATTAATAGACTATATTAAAGTCTTTAAATAGTCTTAATTTAAGAGAGTATATTAAAGTAAGGAAAATAGCTATATACACCTAGATTAAGGTAGGTTAATTAGCTATAAATACACTAGTTACTTCTTAGATAGATTTCTCTACCTAAAGCAAGGGAAAATAATAACCTATGTATTTGCCCTATAGAAAGGGCTAATCGGCGATGGCCGTGTAATATAGTAATAGTTATATATACAACAGAGCAATTAGTTAACATAAGGTTTTCGCTGCTAATTACGCGCTTTAACAGCGGCTAAGGCGGTAGGCAACGTCTTTGCTGCGTGGGGCGGCATCTCGTTGGTGGGGCTGGGCTTCCCGATCCTGCACACGACGGCCCGGGCCGGCCGCCGGCCGCTAGGGATCGTCGACATCGTGCGGCTGTGCTTATAAGCGACGGCGGCGCAAGTGGGGCTGTCGCACCGCAAGGGCGGGCTTAAGGCCGGGCTTGACGCCGACGTCTGTGTCTTTAATGACGCCGAGGAGTAGACACTTAGGTGCTGCAGTATACACTATAAGAACTCCTGCTCGCCGTGGGAGGGTAAGCGGTTCACGGGCCGCGTCAGGGAGACGTGGCTGCGTGGTCGCAAGGTGTACCAGTTTGGCGGGGATAACAGCGGGTTCGCGTGCGACGGCCCTATCGGGGAGGCCATTGCCGAAAGAGAACGGTCTAGGTTGGGCCAAGCTCACATCTGCATAGGGTGGCCATTTTTGTATCTTGGTCATGGGCGTGACTTGGGCATCGCTTATGATACAGGCGTCGCTTGGACGGGTCGGTTGTATTGCGTTTGGGATTCCTGGGGATGGCGCGGTAGGCACGGTTTATAGGGGGAACGACTGTATTTATATTTATATACGCCCTGTTTTAGAAATACAATTGTTCTGAACCTGCTTTGTCGTTTTCTGCCTGTGGTTGGCTATCAAGGGATTGCGTGACGTGACGTGACGTGCGGGTAAGTAAGTTGGTGCGCCTCCTTATTGACGTGCGGCTGTATCCCCAAAAGCTAACCCCTTGCGTCAATCACTTGGGGCCCCCCTTTTCCTCTCCTATGATATTACAGCTAAATGTCTTACGTGAGCGTAATAGAAACAAGGTTCAGGTGTGCCTCCTTACTGCTCTGCCCGGTAAAATTGGGTGTTTTTGGAGAACATGTGGAGTTTAGTTTCCCTTGCTCTGAGAATAACAGGACATTTTTACTTAATTCGTGTCAGCTCTCACTTCTATTGTTTTTTTTATATCGTGCTAAACAGCCCATGCTAACTACAGATCCAGCATGCATCTGTTCCTCTGGGAACCAGGGTCAAAGCAGTGATATATATACAGGTGTACAGATACTGCGTTAAAGTGTCCCCTATAGATCCGGACTTAAAAGCCTATATGCGAGCATGCAGTAGCTATATTCCATGCGTAGCACAATGCCAAATTCTTCCCCTCGTTTTCGTATCTTTTAGCAGTTGTTCTGGTTCCCATTCTGCATTAAAATGGTGTTGTCGGGCTTGTACTTCTTGGACACGAGGCGCACCTCGTACTCGACGTCTAAAACAGCGCCGTTCTTCTCGCCCTGGATGGGCTTAAAGTTGAGCAGCAGGTCAGGCTTGACGGCGCAGCCGACGTCGGTCTCAAGGTACTGGTCGTCACTAGGGTACAGCTGGGAGGTAATACTAATATAGTCGTCATGCGTGATAATCATGTGGATATGCGCGGGCCGGTAGGGGTGGCGGCCCATGATGTGGAGCAGCTTGGCCGAGGGGCCTGACGTGTCAATAGCATACTCGGTTGGCTTAAGGCAGTAGAACCAGAACTTGCCGTTGGCGTTGGTACGGAATTTGCCACGGAGGTTATGGCGGGTTTCTGGCGGCGCGGCCGGACGGGTTAGTTCTACTTATTCCCTACAAAAGGGTTATGCTATGTGATGTAATAGGTGGCGTAGGGGTAAAGGGGGCTGGTTGGCTTGAGGGATACGTACGGTTTTCGGGGTCAAATATATCGTATTTGCCGTTAGTGCTGGCCTGCCACATGTCAAAGATAGCATTAGGGATGCCCTTGCCCGTCTCGGCGTCCTTAATAACGCCGTGGAAGAAGGTAAGCTGCCCGTCCGGGGGCATATTCTGGACTACGCTGTCGCCGTTCTCCCGGAAGGGCGTATCAGGCAACCAGAAGGGGCCCAGGATAGCAGACGACGTGGGCTGGGCGCCATTGGCGGCCACAATCTTGTTGTTAATCTCAATAACAAGCCTGTTGCACAGGCGTGCGTCTTGTTTAGCTGCTGGGGCACAACAGTTTCAAGGGCTCTGCGGGAGACTCACGACTCAACCCCAAGGATATCGCATACCCTCCATGCCTCGTTGCGGTTCTTCTTGTAGGCCTGGCCGATAGCGTTTACATAATTAACGCCGATAATCCACTCGTCCTGCTTGAGCTCGACCTCCCTGCAAAAGTCATGCAGGTGCCGAATTAGGGACGAAAGGATCTCACTGTGCCTTGGCTTTGTCTCGGGGCTCATCAAGTCAATAACATGTTGTGTAAAGTTTGGGTCATATTTGCTATTGCTATTGTTGTCCTTGGGGGCGCTGTGGCCATTTGAGCTATTGGTGGCGGAGGCCATGGTGGAGGCAATAACGTGTGGTACAAATGGCGGGGAAGACGGTGTCGTATGGCAGGCAGGTGGTCTGCAGCAGGTGTGATGTTTTCGGGTGTAGGGGCTAGAGGAGAAGCCGCTTTATATTCGAAGAGCCTCAGGAAGTGTTTAGGTGATTATAGAGCTGGTATTTGCTCTTATAGCCCTGACTCTCCTGTACTGGGCAGGCTATAGGGCTTTAAATGGCATTATAAGGTTCTAATCGGTGACAACGGCGAAGTTAGATAACAGCCTGTACTGTAAATAAGAGCTACTTCTTGATTAGCTAAGTAACTCAAAGTGAAACCTTAGCCTGCAAGATGTACCACTACGATCCTTGCTCTATATAACCCTAACCTTAACCTTAACCCTTATATCTATTTCCTCTTAGTTATTACTTATATATAGAATTATTTAAGCACTAGATCAATTAGTATATTAGTTAGCTAGTTAAATAATAGTTAGATACGTTATAGACACCTTGTGAGGACCTTATAATAAAATAGGTAGACGGCAGGGTAATTATCTAATATTTCCCCTCTTTTAGGCGGTCGCAAAGTCATTCTCATCTAGGTACATAGTGAAATAGCAAGGTTTCTTACAGGCGAACTCTGCTGATGAAAAAGGGGCCATTTTTGGTCTAGCGCTGCATTTATTTAGTTTCTAACTAATATTTCCCCTCATGTTATCCAAGTTGACGAGTTATCTAACATTCCCGCTGTCGCCGATCGGAGCCTAAGTAGGCCAGCTAGGCTAGGCTAGCTTCTGGCCGCTAAAGACTAAAAGTGCGGGGTCGTATGACGCGGCAGAATGGGCGGCATCGAAGGGTCCCCAGGCCTGAGGGGGTAAACTTCGATCTGGCGCACCATGATGGCCTTGCGCCGCGAGAGACACAGCCGCCCAGAGAACCCGTCTTCACACTCTAATCAAGATCCTGAGCGCCACGCCTTACGGCCTTGTGTTTAACTTATAATACTGAAAAGGATCCAGGAGCGTGTTTGCCTGCCGATTTCTTGCTAAAGGTTATTTTAAGTTGCCTTCGGCGTCAGTTCCAGTACGTTCCTGCCTATACAGTCCTGAAGTCTAATGTATAATATATGATAGTTATTTAAATTAATAATAAATAGTCTTTAGGTAGTATATTTATACAATTAAAATACTATATAACTTATGCTTTTAAATTAACTCTAATATTATAGTAATAAAAGGCCTTTAATTTATAGAAGGTCTTATAATATTAAAGATAAGACAGGCAGTTACTTATAGCTTAGACAAGGCGTTACATGAATCCGAGATAACAAGCATAGCAGCATGTAATTACAACAGGGCAGAGAATAGTAATTAAAGCTTGACTTGAAAACTAGAGTGTAGTCCTTTTCTACGTATCCTCTGAAACATCTGTCCTCCACAACAATGTAAGTGAATAAAAACTCGCGTTAAACGTGGCCCGTCTTTCACCACGCCATGATTGTAGTGCCCTTGTGCTTCTCCGTTGGTTCGTGTACCTTACCCGTAGAAACGGCAACTCCTCTTGTCAGCGCATCGTAGATCCGCTTTCCGAACTTGGAGAAGGCGTTGGTCGAGCCACCAATTTCCGTCAGTCTCTTCTCCAGGGGCGACAGCGCGAAGGTGAACTCTTCGCCGCCGATGCGCATCGCGTTGTGGACCAGGTCTATCTCAATGGCGGCGCCCGTCTCTGCGAGCTCGTAGAATCGGTCATTGTTGACAGTAAAGCCCAATAGTCCCAGGGACGGCATGTTCCGAGCGAAGATGAATGCAAAGGTCTTCGCAATGACACACTTGACCCCAATACCTGAACAAGGAAATTGAATTCCATTATTAGCGGAGCTACCTTGCCTGTGGAGAAAGACTCTCGGGGCAAAAGGCAGCCGAGGAGCCGGGGGGGGGGGGGGGGGGGGGGGGGAACAACGAGACAAGAATACTGGTTTCCGGACAGAACTTACCCAGCAAAGCCTGAACAGCTTCCTGGCGACTTGATCCACAACCAAAAGCCTTTCCGCCCACAACAACTTCGCAGCCAGCTTTAACGGCGGCGCGGAAATCAGGATCGGTCCTCTCCAAGCAGTGAGCCCCCAGCTCTTGGTTGGTATCGGACGTGAGCAGGAATTGAGCAGGGGCAAGCTGCCGCGGCATTTAAACAGTCAGCGGGAAAAAACAACAGAGTGGCCTGATGGCACGCTGTTGCCCTGGGTGCTACCGACCCCCAGGCCAAAGGTGCGGCGGGTGCCGTCATGCTTACCGCGTCTGTGTCGATAAAGTCACCCATGCGGTATACTTTGCTCTTAATGGTGTCCAAAGTCGACTTGTCCACGCTGCGCGGCGTATTCGTCGCGGTGCTGTTCGAAGCGGCATCCGTGGCAGCACCCGATGACGTGTTTACCCCGATGGCACTATCCTGCCCCGGTGGTTCGACCCACATGGGCTCTTCCAAGGCACCGGTAGGCAACGAACCTTTTCCTCTGACACTGTCCCATCGGTCTTCTGGGATAGAGTCAATCAATTCCTGCGGCGATCTTACCATCATGTTAAAGGATGAAGCTGCCACGGTGGCGGCCGAGGCCAAGGAGCCGATCGCGCCTAGGGGGTGCAGACATGCAGTCAATATTGAGGACGCCGTTGGTGGTTGTAAAAGGGGAAGCGGAAATTGCGACCATGTCCACATACCCTTGCCCATGCGGTTCTTAAAGTTGCGGTTTTGGCTGCTCAGCCACACCGAACCCGGCGCAGCCATGTCGGCGCCGAGTCCCACACAGAACGAACAACCGGGGATGCCGATGGTGAAGCCCGCTCGCTCGTAAATGTCGATAAGGCCTGTCTTGCGCAAGTGCTGCTCGATGGGGCGACTGCCGGGGACGACGTGGCGCTTGCCATGAGCGACGGGCTTGAGGCCTGCATCCAAGCCGGCCTGGAGCACCAGGGCGCCTGCCACCAGATCCTCCTCGGCCGTGGTGCAGGCACCGATGAAGACACCATCTAGCTTGGTGCCCGCGACCTTACCGACAGGCACGACATCGTCCGGGCTGGGGTACCGCGCTACTGAGGGCTCAGCCTTGGACAGGTCAATCTCGTACAATTCGGCATAGGAACATCCCTCGTCGGCCTTGAAGTAGTAAGACGCCTTCTTGTGGTGGTTGGTTTTACGGGACTCGATGAAGTGCTTTGTGACAACATCGGGAACGAATATGCCTGTGATTCCACCGAATTCCTAGGCCAGGACTATTAGACGACAACGAGGAACATCCGAGACGTGATGGGCCGGGGTGGGGGGTTTGTGGGCAGCACAACTAGGGTTGAGGAGGGAGGCGATAATAGAGTCAACGGGCGCCATTGTCACACATACCGCAGTCATGTTGGCCACGGCGAAGCGCGCATCCGAGCTCAGCCATTGGCAGCCAGGTCCAGTATACTCAACCACCCTGTCAGCTGCGACTGTGTTTCGCTTCAGCTGTTGCAGAATATACAGGATGATATCCTTCCCGCCGACGCCGCGGGCTGGCTTGCCAGTGAAGCGTATCTCCACGACCTCGGGAACTTTGAACCAGATCTGGCCCGTAACCAAGGCCATAGTCACCTCGGTAGCACCGAGGCCTATGGACAGACAGCCATTGGCGCCGGAGCTGCACGTGTGCGAGTCGGAACCAATGATGATCTGCCCGGGCTGAGCTCGCTCGCGGTAAAACTCGGTATGCATGATAGTATAGTTATTGCCTTGGAATTGCGTCATCTTGAACCTCTTACGCGCAAAGTCCATTTTACGTACTAGACTCTGCATCAGGGGCGTGTTGGCGAGCCGCGGGTCGACGAAATGGTCGCCGGCCAGCCAAAAACGGTCGTTGCGGAAGACGCCCGGGTCGCCGAGCTTGTTGTATGCTTGGAGCATGCCCTGCCCCGGGTCCCGGATCAGTACGTGCCACCAAGCAGCCAGAAGACAACGCAAGGGCAGAGGGGTAGATGAAAGGGCTTGAGACTTACATGCCAGCTGGCTTCACTCGCCATCACCCAGTCTACCGAGATAGTGATTATGTCGCCGGTCCTAACATAACCGGCATGAGATAGATCGTGCAGAGCAAATATCTTCTCCGTTACGTTCATGGGTGGACGGCTAGCGGGACGGGAAAGTAGGGGGGCGGCAACGACTCCGTCGTACCGCTCGGCTGAGTTTAACGACTCAAGCCCTGAGGAATTAAGGCCCCGGTTAGCACGGCAGTCGCTGTACGGAACACTTTTACAAGACAGCCCCGGACCCATATGTGGCGAAGACGCCGAAGACGCCGAAGAGGGGAACCCGGAGGGAGTGGGAGGAGCTTTGCATACACGCTGAGGTCAGAAGAAGTAGTTCGTCAGCCTCTTCGGTCGCTACCGGGTCGTTCCACGACAAAGCCATGCCTCCCAAGTTGGTCGGCGCGGTAGCGATGCTCAACGTCTGCTGGATAGCATCGCTCTCTTTCTCGTGTCCATTGCGTCGCAAGTAGGCACTAAGAGCGGCCCAGACGGTAAGCGAATGCAAGGATGGCTGCTCTTCACCTGCTTGCATAGACGCCCAAGCGTCATCGTCCAAGCGAACGCCCCGTATGGTCTGCAAGATCTGAACCAGGCGGGAGTGAAGGGGTTCATCGGCCATGGTGTAATTGAAATCGGGGTCACTGGTGTTCGAATACGGGACAATTTGGAAGACGAGGACATCAGGAAAAGAAATCCACCAGACGGGTTGGAACACCCCAAGTTATTAGCAGTTGCAGCCGTCACAGCTGAGACCGCCGCACGCCACAGGACATGAGCCAGCTGCTTAGATAAAAGGGTTTGAGTTAAACTTTGTACCTAGCCATGGAAGACTTTTGTAATAATATCCCTGGGCCAAGGGGCGGAATGCCCATGGATTGGTTAATCGCCGGCCGATTGGCGAGACGCTGGCCTGGCTGGCTGGCAACACATACAGATTACCCTTTAGCCTGGCCAGCTAGCTAAAGTGGCCAAGATAAATTCTATATCTATAAATACCTATATCTATTAATCTAATCTATTTCCCCCCTAACTGAGGCTCTTAGCTAGTGCTATTATAATTTTAAAGAGCTCTAGATTTAATACTCTTTACTCTACCTTTGTTATAGACTATTTATATATTTATACTTTTTTTTGATTAATATCTAATTTTTTAAAAATACTTTTAGTTAGGTATACTATAGTGCTAGATTTATTACTTCTCTAGCTAGCTTAGTTACTATATATTACTTTCTAGTAAGTTATATTAAGTATTTGAATTTAAAATAATATTAACATTAAATAGAATAAATAAAAATAGTAATTTACAGTACTTTTTAATATAAACTACCTTTTTAGTAAGTAATATTAGTAATATTAATAGTACTATTATTTATAAGTATCTTAGTAACAATAGTCTTAGTATAAAGCTAAAAGAACTATATACTAATATATATATATATTTATAGCAAGTAGCCTATTTCCCTTTACCTTTCTATATTTCTTAAAAGTTAATTAAGCTATAATATATAAGATTAATTAAACTACTTATTACTATCTTTTTTATTACTATCTTAAGTACTTTATAACTTTATATATTATATCTAGTCTATTTATAATTACTATATTACTATATATATAGTTTAATACTCTTTATATTACCCTCTTTTCAAGATGTAGTTTAGTCTTTTTAATGTTTTAGTACTTACTTAGTATATTTATTATTATATAAAGTCTAAGGTTATTAGCCTTAATAAAAGTAAGCCTATATACTTGTATACTAATATCTTTAGCTTAGAGATTAACTACTTTATATATTAGATATTAGTAAGCCTTTTAAATATTATTAAACTATTTTTTAAATACACTAGTACTTAATATACTTTTTAGTATTATTATTAAGGTGTTATAAGCCTATAAGCCTAAGCTACTTAGATATAAGGTAGTAAGTATTAGTATTTTTAGCTTAGAATCTAAGTAGAAAATAATACTTTTAAAATTAATAAATATAAGGTTAGCTTATTTAAAGCTAGCTTATATATTTCTTCTCTTACTTAAGTAAGAATTACTACTTTAAAGTAAGAAAAAAGCTATTTTTTATAATATATAAATTCTCTTATATACCTATATAGTAAGTTATAGATCATAGTTAGTTATATACTTACTTATATCTTTTTATATTTTCTATTAGTTAATTAAGCTATAATATATAAATTTAATTAAAACTACTTATTACTATCTTCTTAATTACTACTTTAAACTACCTTATAAGTTTATATATTATATTTATTCTTTTTATAATTACTATATTATTATATATATACTTTACTACTTTTTATATAACCCTCTTTTTAGGACGTTTCCTTACCTTTAGCTTTAATATCTTTTTGTTTCTTTTCTAACGCCTCTAATTTAGCTATATTAAATAACTTTTTTAGACATAGTTAGGTCTTTTTAGCTCTTTAACACTTACTTAGTATATCTATCCCTATATAAAGTCTAAGGGTCTTATGTAAAGGTATGGGTGGTGTGCCACGCCTGTCAATAGACCATTCTGGCATTACCAAAAGATCAATCAGTTCAGGCACTAAGTGCCTGAAATGCACCACACATGGCCTTATAAAGGGTAACCAGGCCAACCCCTTACATCTTAGTCTTAATAAAAGTAAGCTTATATACTAACTTACTAATACCTTTAGCTTAAAGGTTAATTACCTTATATATTAAGGTTAGTAAACTTTCTTAATATTCTTAAATTCCTTTTTTTACTAAACTAATACTTTATATACTTTTTAGTACTATAGTTAATATACCTATATAGTAAGCTATATATTATAGTTAGAGAGTTAAAAGTGTATTTTATATAGAGACTTATTTCTTTTTTAAAATACACTACTTATAAGGCTTACTATTAAGTAATAAATTATATAACTAATATATAGTATAGATTTAAGAATTATTATAAGGATTTCTTAATATACTTTCTATTTTTAGTAACTATATACTAATATATTTAAGTAAATATAACTTATATTTATATTATATGTTTCTCTAGATATAATATAATATATATTAGTATATATTCTAAAAATAGAGTTTTAGAAACTAGGATTTAAAAGCAGGGCCTTTACCTAAATAGGAAGTAAAAATATAGTTAAGTCTAGATTAATAATCTTAGTCTAATTTCTATTTTTATATACTTTTCTATATACTATATAAGCTAATATATATATATATATCTTTTAGCTATACCTAAAAGTCCTTAACACTTATATTAAATTTATATTTTCTTATTAACTCTCTAATTATAGTAAGCTATATACTTCTTTTTCTCTTTTTACTTTTCTAATAAGTTAATTAAGCTATAATATATAAAATTAATTAAAACTACTTATTACTATCTTCTTTATTACTATCCTAAACTACCTTATAGGTTTATATATTATATTTAGTCTTTTTATTATTACTATATTATTATATATATAGCTTACTACCCTCTATATAACCCTCTTTTTAGGATATTTTCTTACCTCTAGCTTTAACACCCTCTTTTTCTCCTTATAGCGCCTCTACTTTAGCTATATTAAGTAATCTTTTAAGATATAGTTAGGTCTTTTTAGCCCTTTAGTACTTACTTAGTATATTTATCCCTATATAAAGTCTAAGGTTCTTAGCCTTAATAAAAGTAAGTCTATATACTAACTTACTAATAGTTTTAGCTTAGAGGTTAATTACTTTATATATTAGTGTTAGTAAGCTTCTTTAATATCTTTAGATCCTCTTTTTTAGTAAACTAGCACTTTATATACTCTTTAGTGCTATAGTTAGTGTCTTTAAGTCCTATAAGCCTAAGCTAGTTAGATATAAGCTAGTAGGTATTAATATATTTAGCTTAAAATCTAGGTAAAAAATAACTACTTTAAGGTTAAAAAGTATAAGGCTAGCCTATTTAAAGCTAGCTTATATATATTTTTTTTATTAAAGTAAAAAACGCTACTTTAAAAATAAAAAAGAAGTTATTTTTTATAATATATAAAATTTATATTTATATTGTTTTTCTAATTTTCTTACTATATAAAAGCTTTAATAAGCTAAAATAACCTATATTAAGACGCTAATACTTATATAGTAAATAAAGAGGTATATATAAAGTAATAATCTTTTATTTCTTATAAAGATTATTAAATTTAGTTAATTTATAGCTATTATAGCTATTCTAGACTAAAGGCTAATAAGTACTTTTTATATAAGACTTTATATACTAGTTAAAGTAATTTAACTAGCTTAAGCTAATTTTATTTATTACTTACTTATTCTTACTTAAGTAAATATACTATTTAGCTAGGAATTAGCTATTTTAATACTAAAAGAAAAAGTAATATTTACTTTTTATAATAATATATAGAGGTATTACTTAGCTATTTATATATACACCTTAAATAATAAAAACCTATTTTTAATTACTAGGCTACTTTATATAAGGCCTTCCTTTATAATTAGAGGTTATAATAACCTTTATATATAATAGTATTTTTATTAAGAACTTAGTTTTATTAAGATTATAAATATTATAATCTTATATTTTATATATTATAATTATACTTTATATAAGTATAAACTAGCCTTATATAATTATAAGATCTTTAGCTAAGGCTTTTTAATAGTTAATTTAATATTAAAATTATATTTTAAATAAAGGCTATTATTATATAAAGTTCTTTACTTATTAAGGTATAATATATATTATATTATATTTATTTAGGAGTTAGTTAGCTTTATTATATATATTATCTTATTATAAATAAAATTCTTAATTAAATAGGTTAATAACCCTCTTAAGAACTACCTTTTTCTTTACTTTTATTATTTTTTTTTAATTTTAAACACTTCTTAGCTTATATAATATGTCTAGTATATTAGTTATAAAGGGTTAATTTAGGGACCTTAAAGGTATAAGCTGCTTTCTATATAGGTGTTTCTAGGTCTTTTTAGATAGCTTAGAGAGTAAAGATAATTTAGCTTTCTTTAAAGGAAGAGTTTATGTTTATACGTAGAGAAAAGTAGGTGTAAAGATTAAAGAGGTAGAAAAGCAGTAGATATACGTAACTAACTTTAATCTATAACTTACTGTATAAGTATGTTATTTTTATTATATATTTAACTTCTTCATTATATAAAAGCTTTAAAAAAGTAAAATAAATTATAACAAGAGGTTAAAGCTTATATAATAAATAAAGAGATATATTTAAAGTAATACTTTCTTACTTTATCTATAAATAATCAGACTTAGTTAATTTATATCTATTATAGCTATTAAGAATTAGAAGTTAATTAGTACTATAATATTATATAATATCTATTTTTTAGCTAATCTACTATTACCTAGACACGCTAATAGCTATAGGAGTAATTAGGTATTTACTAGTAAAATAATAAGTAATAAGCTAATAATTCTCTAAGAAAGGGCTAATAATTATCTAGGAGTTCCTAGTAAGTTTCTTAATAATTATTAGTAGTTTACTATACTAATTTATAAAGAATTAGCTAAACTAATTCTCTATATATTTCTAGAAAAATAGGCCTCTATATAAAATAAAGAAAGATTATTTAACTTTACATCTTATTTTTCTATACTAAAATATAATAAGTACTCTTTATATAAGACTTTATATATTAGTTAAAATAATTTAACTATTCTAGGCTAATTCTATTAATTATTTATTTATCTTCCCTTAGGTAAATATACTATTTAACTAAAGACTAGCTATTTTAGTACTAAAAGAAGAGGTAATACTTATATTTTATAAAAATATATAAACATACTACCTAGCTACTTATATATATCTATCTTAAATAATAAAACCTTATTTATAATTACTAGGCTACCTTATAGAAGGTCTTCTTTTATTATTAAAGATTAAAATAACCTTTTTATATAATAGTATTTTTATTAACAACCTAGTTATATTAAATTTATAAATACTTATAATAGGCTATTAGACTGCTAGAAGAAGTGTTAAACAATAGGTCTCGTATTACATAGAAGCTGAATCTTGGAGAACTATTCTCTAGCTATTTGTGAGGCTATCGCCTATTGAATACGCCCCACTCCCTGAAACACTTCCCTAACCTTAGGGTTGTACAGCCAACTGCCACCACTTGCTCCTAGATGGTTCTGTAGCGGTTAGTCTATTGTCCTGTGACAATATTATAGTCTTATATCTTATATAGTATAACTATATTCTATATAAATATAAACTAGTCTTATATAATTATAAGATCTTTAGCTAAGGCTCTTTAATAGTTAATTTAGTATTAAAATTATATTTTAATCAAGGTTATTCTTATATTCTAGAGGTAAAAGAGGCAATATAAGGTTAAAGATAAAAGATAAGACATAGATAAGAGATAAGAAATAAGAGATATAGTTATAATATAATATATTATATTTTTACTTATAGATCTTAGACTAGACATCTAGATAAAGGAAGAAAAGGAGATTATTTATACTTATTTTGCTAAGCTTATTATAGATTTCTAGAGATTTCTTTTATATTCTAGGTTAATAATTAGGTTTATTAATCAGGCTATTATTTAGTAATGTTATTATTATAAAGTACCTTACTTATAGAGTTAACTTTAGTGTCTTTTATTCTTAAAGTAACTCCTTAGGAGAATAGTGCTTTTCTTAGAAGTACTACCCTTTATATTGTAATTTTATTATCTTTTATAGTATATAGTAGAATCTAAAGTAGTTATATACTTATAAAGTGTATATAGTTTATATAGTATTATTAATACTAGAAAGTAAAATATAGTTATATTTAATTCCACTTTATTATTTATAGGCTTTATTTAAGTAATTAAAGCTTAATATGTAATAGTATATAGACTCCTCTACTTACTAAGGCCTAATATATATTATATTATATATACTTAAGAGTTGTTCAGCTATATCTTATATACTATTATCTTGTAAATAACACCTTTAATTAATTTAGTTAATAATCTTTTTAAGAACTACCTTCTTTTTTATTATAGTTATCTTTATTAGATTTATATATCTTTTAAGTTATATAATATAACTACTACTCTAGATATACACTATTATCTAGGAGATATTAGGAATAAAGGCTACCTTTTATATAGATAGTTCTATGTCTTTTTAAATAGCTTAAATTATAAGAAGGATATAACTTTCAATTAAAGTAAAATATATTATTATATAAAGGGGAACATTATTAAGAAGAGGAAACGTATAGAATTCAAAAGAAGTAGACTACTTACTATAATAGGCCGCTTGCTATACATGTATGTTATCTGTTTTTATCTATATAGTAGCTAATTAGGTCTATGTGAAATTCACACTGTGAATATCCCTACTAGTATTTAAAGAAGTACTCAAGCCTTCTAATTACAAATGGCTAGGTTCAAACATTCCCTTGACTTTTTCCAACCCATTGAAGTCAACATGGCCAAGTCACTGCCTTCGTGCACTTGGAAAAACGGCTATCTCGCTCCTGCTGACCACGAGGCTATCTGGAGTCAGCAACAATACTTTACGGGCCCTAAAGGAGAGCCATCCCACTATAGTATTCAGCCAGAGAATGATGAGTTCACGTCTACCGCCGTGAATTCCTACGGGCGGAGCCGGCTTCGTACGTGGCCGGCACTATATAATGGCACTCTTGCACCTGGAGGGCCACCGAGCTGGTGGGATCCGGCGCAAGAGGTGGACGTTATCATATGTGGCGGTGAGCAGTGACAAGATTTTGTGCTCGCGGAATATAGAGCAGTAATATTCTGACGAGTTTTCCAGCCGGCCCTTTTGGGCTCGAAATGGCCATGAATCTGGCCAGGCAAGGCATCAGCTTCCGCATTGTCGGTAGGTACCCTAGGGTAGCCCTACACAGCACAAATACCGAAGGCTGAGTGCAAATATCTGAACTAATATCCACAGATAAGTCCGAACGGCCGTGCCTCTCAGGGAGAGCAGACGGCCTGCAGCCGAGGGGGCTCGAGTACCTCGAGTCGTGGGGTGTCGGAACCGAGGGGGCGGAAGAGGGTCCGATCCTCAACTCGACGGTGCTGTACCGCAACGGTGAGAAGCTCTTGCACAGCTGGTCTAGGCAGTGCGACTCGCGCTACAAGGGCGTCCACGTAATCACTCAGGGTCAGGTTGAGAAGATCTACGTCCGCGACCTGCTGCGGCATAGGGCCGTAGTCGAGCGGTGCGCCACAGTGGAGAGCTTTAAGGTACAGGAAGGCCAGGGCTCAGATTACCCGGTCTCTGCAATTATAAAAAACCTCAAATCTGGGAAGACGGAGAATGTCCGCGCCAAGTATCTTATCGGGGCTGATGGGGCGTCCAGCAAGATCCGCAAGACCCTGGGTATTCCGTTTGATGGACTAGCGACGAGCTGCTTCTGGGCTATTATGGACTGCGAGTTTAAGACGGATTATCCTCATATTCTTGGATTCAAGTGAGGCCCAATTAAACCAAGTAATGGGACTTCTGCAAAGTGCGCTGACAAAATCAAGCTATCTTAGCCACTCAGAGTACGGAGGTTGTATCGTTATTCCGCGAGAGCAGGGCCAGACGCGGTAAGTCAAGCCGCGAGGAACAATGGTGGATTGCAACCCTATGAAAGCGAACATCGCTCACACCCACAGGTTCTATGTCCAAATCACGGGGGCGAAGGCCGAGAAGGTAGAGGCTGCCAGGAAGGTCTCCCGAAGAAGCAACGATTCCGCTGTGGGAGAAACACAGATCCACGACCATGGAATCACTCCGGACGAGGTCCTTGAGCACTTGAACAAGATTATGGCTCCCTGGAAAGTTGAGTTTGCTTCGGCGATGAGTTGGTTTGCTCTCTGGCGAGGTTAGTGTTTTCTGTCCCTTGTTGCCGTACCTGCAGTTATGGAGATCAAAGAAACAGAGGCTGATTACCTTGTTTTTACCAGTGAATGAAAGAGTGGCGAGGACTTATTCGAGCCAAGATGGGCGCGTGTGGATTGGAGGCGACGCGGCGTGAGTGCCCGCCCCCCCCCCCCCCCCGAGAAAAGAAAAAAATCTCACCCATGCATGTATCAAGAACGCTAACAATACATCAGCCACGTCCACAGCACCATGGGCGCATTCGGCCTCAACTCGTCGATCTACGACGCAGCCAACCTGGGGTGGAAGCTGGGGCTCAGCATCCGCGGCCATGCCCGGCCGGACGTGCTACTGCCCACCTACGACTGCGAGCGGCGCCTGTACGCAAACCGCGTGATCCGTACCTCGGGGGCCAACTTACGCTTCATCTGCAACCTGAAGCTCCCCCTCGCCCAGCTGCGCGGGCTAGGCGACGAGCTCGACGCTGACGACGTGGCCCTGCCTGAGCTCGACGGGACGGTAGAGGCGGACCGTCGGTTCGTGAGCTACTTCTACCGCCGCAACGCGTTTTTCCTGATGGGTGTAGAGGGCCCCACGGTTGTCTCTGCCATATGCCCCGAGATGGGCAAGGGGCCGTCGGCGTCTGAGCCCGCGGCGCGGTCGTCTTTGCATCCCACGACCGTGGCAAACGGTGTCCGCGCGCCGAGCCCTCGAGTATGTCTCGAGACAAACCGCACGGGATATCTCTATGACCGCATGCGCGGCGTCGGCCGGTTCCACATCTTGGTATTTGCCTCTGACCTCCGCGGGCCAGCGCGGGAGCGCCTGGCGCATCTGTGCCAGTTCGGGCTCGGCGATGGACCCTCCGGGTTTTGGGCACGCTTCGGCGGGAGTGACAGGTTCAACCTACTCCTCATCACCAAGGCCCTTCCACACGAGTCTCGGCAGCTATTGCTCGGGGGCAGTGGTCATCTTGTAAACGGCAACACAGCCAGACCAAGGCTGACGAGACTAGCAGACCTGGCGACTATGGTCTACGATGATCGTGCGCCGGACGAGGACGCGCATTACACCTATGGTATCAATCACGCTCGTGGCGCTGTCATCGTTGTTCGGCCTGATCTAATGATTGGAATGAGCGCATGGCCGGAGGACTCGGAGAGCATCAAGGGGTACTTTACTGGGTTCTTGAATGAGGTCAATGCGCAGTAAGAGAAGTTGTTAAATCGTAGGGATTATAACAGTTAATTAATTCATTATATAATACCTTGCGTTATAAATAACTATCGCAAAATCCTCTAGAAACTAGGGAATCCTACTATTTCTTAGTTAGGAAATCCTAGACTAATCCTAGCGATATAATTAGTATAATAACTGTTAAAGTAGGGCTATTTTACTATCTATTTCTTAATAATTTACCATAAGACTGTAATAGGATTTATAACAGCAGTTATAGGTCTTAGTAATTAGTTACTAAGCTTTTAGTAACCTACCTTACTGTAGATTCTATCTGTAACAGTAGACAGCTAGGTAGAACTCTAGAAGCTTAAGTCTTATAATACACTAATACCTACTATTAGGCCCTGCCTAGTTAAGTGCCCCTAGCTAATTATTTATAAAGACAACTTTATTAAAGCACTTAATTAGTAGTAATACCCTTATATTGATTAATTACTATTATGTATCTCTTTATAGACTGTAGTGTACTACTATTACTAATTACCCCTTACGGGGTAAATATATAAATTATTATTTTCCCTTGTTTTAGGTAGGGAAATCTATCTAAGAAATGACTAGTCTATTTACAGCTAATTGCCCTACCTTGCGTCTAGGTGCACACTGCCACATTGCCTACTTTGACACAACTGTGCATTTGCTACCGTATCTACTGGTTATATCTAGATAAAGCTAATTATTAGGCTAACGGTAAGGAGTATCGCGGCCGCTGTAGCAGGTATAGTATGCTAGCAGAAACAGGGATCTAGAAGTAGCAAGTGTAGGATAGTAATGTACGTAAGCAAGAAGTTATAGTGTGAGTACTAGATAAATGTTGTTGCTAATAGGCAACAGGTAAGTAGGTAGATAGTTAGGAGGATGGATAGGTGGGGTTGGTAGATTGACCGCTTTCTATATCAGGCCTGGCGGCAAGGGCCTGTACTAACTACTATAGGATATTGGCTAGCTAGCTCTGGCTAGACCCTTTATTAGCTTTATCCGGATCTCGAGAGTGTAGGCGGTAGTTAATTTACGTGTGCTTCTGCCACATTTAACCCGGTGCCTTATACGCGGGGACTTCAAGTGGCCCCACCTAGTGAGACACTCCACTGAACTTAGCTAGGAACTGTTAAAGCGTGTAATTGGCAGCGATAACCTTCCGTTGATTGATTGCTCTGTTATGTGTGTAACTATCTCTATGTTACGCGGCCATCGCCGATCGGCCCTTTCCAAGGGGCAAATGCACAGTTCATTATTTTCCCTTGTTTTGGGTGGAGAAATCCATCCGAGAAATGACTGATGCATTTGACTTTGACAGGAACGATGTCCCGCACGGCGCCGGGAACCGAGAACGACAGAGTCTAATCTAGAAGTAGATTGCCCCCCTCCCCCCCCGGGTGCTAAACCATCCCCATTAACAAACTGTATATATAGTAGCTTTAGAGTAAGATTTAATAAACGGATGGTAATTTATTAAAGTGTAATGTAATTATAAGGCCCTTTAGGCCCTTACGGCCTTTATATGGAGGAAATAGCCACATCTGTGGCTATTACACAGTAAAGACCCTTAGAGGAAGGCCTTTATCTTAGGGTTGAATGGAATTCCGGCGGTTATGGGCCCTCAGCTCTATTAGTACAGAAATTACAACAACCCTTTTATACTTATTTCAAGTTCTTTTCAACCAACAACTAGGTCTTAACCAGCCCCTTAAGTAACCGGTGCATAAGTAACTAATTTTTCCCAGATGTAATAATCAGTTGAACCAATCAAGCAGAGGACCGCGAGGAGAAAGGCAAAATGACGACCCAGTTTCCTTCACTAATAGTGTTCGGATCTCAAGCTGGGACTCTATCAAAAGCTTCGCTGCTGCGATTGCGATCTCTGCTCCACGGTAGAATCGAACAGAGAGGCATCGTCGAGGCGATGCATGGCCTCCCTGCCGCCTGGGACGCCCTAGCCGCCTTTGATCCACAGCTGGACGGTCTTGACGGCAAGAACCAGCTCGAGCAGCTGGTCAGCCTCCTTGGAGGACATGGTGACGATGAGCAGGGCCTCGTGCCAGCCTCGGGAACGAACACCATGGCTATGCCCAACATATTACTCGCGCCCTTGACCGTCTTGATCCACATGGTTGAGTACTTCACTTACTTGAGACATGTAGGCACCTCACATCGAAAGGTGCTTCAGTCAGTCGCCCAGAATGGCGGCTTTCAGGGCTTGTGCACCGGCCTCTTGTCTGCTATCGTCATGTCCACCTCCGAGGACGAAGTGCAGGCTATTGAGGTGGCTGCCCGCGCATTAAACCTGGCGCTGGCAATCGGGGCTTACGTTGACCTGGACGCTCGGTCGGTCAGCCCGCCAGGGGAGTTCTCGTGCTTTGTCGTGCGTTGGAAGCAGCAAAGCGATAGGGAACAAGTTCTGGGAATATTGGAACAGTTTCCCCAGGTTTGTCTTTCCTCCCCGCACAATGTGCAGACCAGAGGAGGATATCAGCTCAACCTCACACAGGCCTATATTTCTGTCACCTTGGATGATAGCATCGTCACCGTCACTGCAGATCGGCAGTCTTCCAGAGACATCATGAATAGTCTCCACTCAATTGGAGCGGTCACAAAGCCCATCCCACTCAACGGCCGCTTCCACACACGAGGAAACAAGGAAAGATGCGCAAAAGTGGTATCACTCGGGCAGTCAGATGCACGGTTTCGTCTTCCGGGCTCAGCCTCGCTGCACACACAAGTGTTCGGTGGGGATGGCGAGCCCATCGACTCGAACGAGCTGCAAGAGACTGCGCTCAGATCTATCTTGGTCGACCAAGCGGCATGGCACAAGGCTCTGGCGAAAGCACTATATCGGGTGTCGTCCACGCCGTCCGCAAAGCCCCTGGTCATTTCACTAGGCCCCGTTGATTGCATACCACACTCCCTGGTCAACAAGTACAGCCTCGACATAGCCACCTCGGCATCCTTCGGGGGCCTGAGTGCCGAGGCCTCATATCACACATATGCGGACGACTCCATAGCCATCGTCGGGATGGCCTGCCGCCTCCCCGGCGCCGACAACCTCGAAGAGTTCTGGCAGCTCCTCCTCTCCGGCTCGTCGATGCTTCGTAGGCTCCCGGGCGAACGCTTCGCCACGACGGGCCTCCGGCGCTCTCCCAAGGAAGACACGCCGTTCCTCGGGAACTTTGTGCGCGACGCCTTCGCCTTCGACCACAAGTTCTTCAACAAATCGTCCCGCGAGGCCAGGTCCATGGACCCGCAGCACAAGCTCATCCTCCAGGTAGCATACGAGGCCCTTGAGTCGGCCGGGTATTTCAGCCGCGGCGGGCAGCCCAGGGACGTCGGGTGCTACATTGGCGTGGCGGCGTCCGACTACGAGGATAATGTGGCCTCGCACGCCCCGACAGCCTTCTCGGTCACCGGGGCCGTGAGGGCATTTGTCAGTGGCAAGATCAGTCATTTCTTTGGCCTGAACGGCCCATCGCTCGTCTTCGATACGGCCTGCTCTTCCTCGGCCGTTGCCATCCACACCGCCTGCCAGGCCATCCGGTCGGGGGACTGCTCCATGGCATTGGCCGGGGGTGTCAACGTCATCACCAGCCCGACCCTTCACCAGAACTTGGCTGCGGCGAATTTCCTCAGCCCCACGGGCGAGTCCAAGTCCTTTGATGCCCGCGCGGACGGCTACTGCCGAGGAGAGGGCGCCGGGGTGCTAATGCTCAAGAGATACTCGGCAGCCGTGGCCGACGGCGACAACATCTTCGGCGTCATCGCCGGCTCCGCTGTAAACCAGAACGCAAACACTGCTCCCATCACCGTGCCCGTGTCTTCCTCACAGACAAGCCTCTACATGAGAGTACTCCAGCGGGCGCATATGGATCCAAAGAGCGTGTCATATGTCGAGGCGCACGGGACAGGCACACCAAAAGGCGATCCAATCGAGTGTGCCAGCATCCGCGAGGTATTCGGAAACCAGCCGTCCCGCAAACTGTATTTCAGCTCCGTCAAGGGCAGCATCGGGCACCTCGAGGGCGCGTCGGGGGTGGCAGGCATCATCAGGGTGCTCCTGATGATGCAGCACCGGACCATCACGCCGCAGGCGAGCTTCAGGACGCTGAACCCGAGTATCCCACCGCTTCTCCCGTCCAACATGGAGATCCCCGAGGCCCCAAGGCCGTGGGAAACCGACTTCATGGCGGGCATCGTCAACAATTACGGCGCTGCTGGCAGCAACGCGGCACTGCTAATCTGCCAACCTCCGCCCACGCAGCCGGGGTCTGACCTGACCAGCGCGAGGGCCCCCGACAGTTACCCCATCATGATCCATGCCAAGTCTATTGCAAGCCTGTCTGCCAACTGTAACGCGCTTCTTGCATACCTGGATCACCAGGCTGAGAGCCATTTCCCACCACCGCTGGCAAGTATTGCTTACTGGGCTTCCATGCGACAGAACCCCGAGCTTCCATTCTCATGGAAGGCACGGATCAGGTCTCTTGAGGGCCTTCGAGATGAACTCAAGAGAGAAATCGAGGCCCTGGCAAAGACAAAGGAGGTCCAGTCACCAGCCAAAGGGCCTGGCGCAAGCGAGAAGCTACCCGTTGTCCTTGTCTTCTCAGGCCAGACCGGTAGGCTGGTGAAGATGTCGAGGGAGGCATATGACAGCTCCGTCCTGCTGAAGAGACACATGGACAGCTGCGATGCCATTGTCCGGTCCCTAGGATACCCCGGGATTTTCCCGGCCGTGTTCACCCAAGAACCTATCGCCGACATCGTGACGCTTCACTGCGCCATCTTCACCGTCCAGTACGCCTGCGCGCAATCATGGATCCACGCAGGCTTGCAGGTGCAGGCCGTGATTGGGCATAGCTTCGGCCAGCTGACTGCCCTCTGTGTTGCGGGCGCCATGTCCCTCGAAGACGGCATCAGGCTGGTAGCGGGCCGCGCAGCACTGGTGCAAAGTGCTTGGGGCAATGAAAGGGGTGCCATGGTGTCCATTGATGTGGACTCGGCCCGGGCGCAGCAGCTTGTGATGGCGGCCCGAGAGAGGGACATCGATGTTGAGGTTGCCTGCTATAACGCGCCCAAGAGGCAGGTAATCGTGGGCTCCGAGGCTGCGGTTGCATCTTTTGAGACCTTCGTGTCGCAGAACCAGCAGGGCGGGCTAGCGTCGCCTGCGTTGAAACGGCTGGAAGTCACGCATGGCTTTCACTCCAAGTTCGTCAACAACATCTTGCCAGGCTACCGGGATCTGATCAAGCCCATCCGACTCCGACAACCAGACATCCCCGTCGAGACATGTTCCCCCGGCAGGGCTTGGGAACAAGTCACCGCAGAGCTAGTGGCGGCACAATCCCGAGAGCCCGTGTATTTCGGCGAAGCAGTGAGTCGCCTCCAAGCTAGGCATGGGCCTTGTTTGTGGCTCGAAGCCGGCTCCGGATCTGCCGCTATACCTCTGGTTCGGCAGGCTCTTGAGCTTCGGATTTCAGAACCTTCACCTCACTCGTTCCACCCAGTAGATCTCGGCGGCAAACAGCCTATGGACGCCCTGGCCGGTGTCACCCTGGGCCTCTGGAGCAAGGGATTCCGGATTCAATTCTGGCCATTCCACCATGTCCAGAGAAAGATGTACGCCGTGTTACACTTACCTCCGTACCAATTCGAGAAGCACCATCACTCGCTCGAGTATATCGACAAGCATGTTGCTGAGACTGAGGTCATGTTGCAGCCTATGGCTATGGAGAAGCGGGCAGGGATGGTCTCTCTGGTTGAGAAGATTGACGCACATACGTCCGTATTCCGGATTGAACAGACAAACCACGTATTTATCAATTTAATCAATGGGCACCGTGTCCTTGGCAACCCGCTCTGCCCGCTGTCTCTTTACATCGAGCTGGCCACGCGAGCAGCAGCGCTCCTCACCCCGGGATTCAAGCGAGAGGAGCACGTGCCCGAGGTCTGCGACCTCGAGATATTCGCGCCCCTTGGAAGGAACACCAGCTGGGAAGTCCAAATCACCCTCGAAGAGAGCCAGCAGGGCGGGGAAAATCAATCGTGGGACGTCACCTTTAGCAGCTTCCCGCACTCGCAACCCAAGAAGAAAGTGCGGCACGCATCAGCGTCCATTTCTATGCTCCCGTCAAAGAACCGCAAGATGGCGGCATCCTTTGAGCGGACCCAGCGGCTAATCGACACCAAGAAATGCGAGGATATGTTCGCTTCGGACGCCTCGGCAGGTATCAAGGGCGCTCTGGTATACAAGATGTTTGACAAGGTCGTCAACTACTCCGCCATCTACCGCGGCGTGCAGAAGATATCGTCCCAAGATCGCGAGGTCGCAGGGTATATATTCCTGCCGCCTCCGACGCCGGCAACATCATCACCGTCACAGAGGCAAGACGTGTCAATTTGCAACCCGCTGGCCATTGACAACTTCACGCAGGTCGCCGGGCTACACGTCAATGGGCTCGACGACTGTGGGAATGACGAGGTCTATATCTGCTCCAAGATTGAACAGCTCCAGATAAACCAGGGTCTGGCGCTGGAGGACACCGCAGCTGGTCGTGGCCCATGGCTGGTATACTCGAATTTCGTTCGCAGTGGGGGAGACCGCGACCTGCTCAATGATCTTTATATCCTAGATGAGAGGAGCGGTGCCCTAGTTATGACGATGCTCGGAGTCAGGTTTACGAAGATAAATGTTCACTCGCTTCAAAGGGTTCTGGCGCGAGCCAATATGCCTTCCACAAAAGCAACAGCCAAGGCCTGGAGCCATAGCTCTGGTTTACTTACGCCTCAGAAGCAACATGCTGCGAAGGAGCATGGAGAGACACTAGCGGTGAGGTCGGAAACCCCGAGGACTGAAAAGCTACGTGCCCGCATGGTAGATGAGGTCGGTGTGATCAGCGCTGCCGTGCGCCACCTGCTCAACGAGGTGGTGGACGTGCCCCTTGACGCGATCCGCAACGAGTCTCTTCTCAGCGAATTGGGAATAGACTCCCTTATGTCGACAGAGGTGTTAAATGCCATTAATGATCAGTTCTCCGTGCACATCTCGGCTGACCTGCTGAGAGGTGACTTCGGGTCGCTCTGCGCGGCAATTTCGGCCTCGTCTGACACATCTAGCATCAGCCACAGCAGCGAGTGCAACGCAGCCTCCAGCTGCGAACATGACTCGGGTTGGACGACTTCACTTTTTGACAGCACCGCCTATGCCACCCCTGTGGTCAGGGCTGACCCGGAGGCGACGTCCAAACTTGAGGCGCTGGTGGCCGAGCACCTCGATATAACTGGTGGCATTGCGCGGGACGTCCTCCTTAAAGAGGTCGGCGTCGACTTGCTCCTGGGAACGGAGCTTGGCTCTGCCATCGAGCATGAATTTGGCATCAAGATCGACATGGGGAGCCTCCCTCCTGTAGTTCGATATGGTGATCTAGTTGATGTTATTATTTCGCATAGAACCAGGGAATTCAAAGAACCACCACCCCCATCTATCACGACTGTCCAGGAGGCGGTGATAGGAATAGGCCACAGTAGCGCCGTCCCTAATCATCTCGGGACGACAAGCGAAGATGAATGGAAGCCGGTGGAGCATGCAGACGAGGACTTCACCGCCATCAGAGATGGCTATCAGCACTTTGCCCAAGAGGCCGGCTATGCTGGCTTCCGGACGCGTGTGTACCCGAAGCAGAGAAAGCTGGTCGCCGCATACGTGCTGCAGGCATTTTCCGCTCTGGGCTGCAATGTGGCCAGCCTCAAGCCGGGCGAGGCCCTCCCAGCGATCGCCCACATCCCAAAACACGCAAAGGTAATGGACCAGTACTACATGATCCTGTGCGACGAGTCATTGCTGCGTTTTCAAGAAGGAAAGTACGTCAGGACAGACGTCCCCATCGAGGAGGTCGATACGGCACGACTGCATGAGGATCTCAGCGCCGAGTTCCCCCAGCACGCGGGTGAGCTCAAGCTGCTCGGGGCAACGGGCACGCGGCTCGCCGATGTCCTCTCAGGGAAGACGGACCCCCTCCAGATTCTCTTCGGAAGCAAGGCCGATCGTGACCTGCTCGAGGATGTATATCTGAACTCTCCCATGTGGCTGACGGGGACCAAGGTGCTGACCGGCTACCTCATGACGGCCCTCTTGCCTGGTCGCCGCGGTCCAGGCGCAGGCAAGCTGAGGATCCTCGAGCTGGGCGCAGGCACGGGTGGTACAACGCGCCACCTGCTTCAGACGCTGTCAGGCATGGGCGTCGATTTCACGTACACGTTTACGGACCTGTCATCGTCACTCGTGGCGGCGGCAAAGCGCAAGTTCGCACAATACGGCGGCACGATGGAATACACGGTGCTCGACGTAGAGAAGGCGCCCCCGCAGGAGCACGTAGGCAGGTACGACATTGTCGTGTCCTCGAACTGCATCCACGCAACCAAGGACCTATTCTTGTCCAGCACCAACCTGCGCAAGCTGCTCAGGGACAATGGCGTGCTCTGCCTGCTCGAGCTGACCCGCAACATCTACTGGCTGGACTGCGTCTTTGGCCTGCTTGAAGGGTGGTGGCTGTTTGAGGACGGCCGCAGGCATGTGCTTGCCAGCGAGACACTCTGGAGGGACACATTGCTGAGGGCTGGCTTCAGGCATGTCAAATGGAGCGATGACGCCAGCGAGGAGTCGGATCAGTACCGCCTCATAGCTAGCTTTGTTACTGCGCCAACCTCGAGGCTAGAGGCGGTCCGGCCCGGGCGCCTGGAAACCAGAGACACGGTGAAATATGCCAATGTTGACGGCATCTCACTCCAGGCTGACCTATACTATCCGCAGCAGAGCGATGCTGGCAAGCCTAACAGGCCAGTTGGTAAGTTCCACCTTACTGCACAACCGCCACGTGTTGATGCCATGCAGCTGACGACGTAACGTACACAGCGCTCATGATCCACGGCGGCGGCCATATCATGCTATCACGCAGGGACATCCGGCCGCGGCAGACACAGCTGTTGCTGCAAAAGGGCTTCCTCCCAGTCAGCATCGACTACCGCCTGTGTCCCGAAACGACGCTGACCGAGGGCCCCATGACAGACGTCTGCACCGCACTGCACTGGGCGCGGACGCAGCTCCCGGCCCTGTCGGCCTCGCTGTCCCGGCCGGACGTGCGCGCAGACGGGAGCCGTGTGGTCGTCGTCGGCTGGTCCACGGGCGGTACACTGGCCATGAGCCTCTCGTGGACGGCGCCCTCGCGCGGGATCCGGCCGCCCGACGCCATCCTGGCCTTCTACTGCCCGTCCGACTACGAGTCGGACTTTTGGCGGCGGGCCAACTTCCCCGAAAACACCAGAGGGGCGGCAGAGCAGGCCCAGGCGCAGGGCGGCTACGACCTGCTCGAGGGCGTGCGCGCCGGCGGTCCTATCACAGCCTATAACGTGACGCCACCACGCGACGGCGGGCGGGGGGCTGTTGGGGGCTGGATGTCGCTGTCGGACCCGAGGTCGCGCATCGCGCTGCACATGAACTGGCGGGGGCAGACGCTTCCAACGCTGCTGGACGGGCTGCCGAGCCGGGCCGCTGCCGATGCCAACGTGGACTGGGAGAACCGGCCACAGCCCGATGCGGCGCGTGTCGCTGCGGTGAGCGCGCTCGCACGGGTCCGGGCGGGCGACTACAGTGTGCCGACATTCCTGATCCACGGCACCGCTGATGACCTCGTTCCGGTCGAGCACACGCAGAGGATCAGGGACATGCTTATGGAGAAGGGGGTCCCGAGCGGGCTGGCTGTGGTGGATGGCGCGGTGCATTTGTTTGACTTGTACCCGGACACCGAGGGCAAGTACTGGGCGGCGGTGCAGGAGGGATACGAGTTCCTTGTGAGGCAGTTGGGTATGTAGTCTAAGAAGTGTGAGACGAGGGTAGTCGAGAAGCTCGGGAGGTTTGATATTGATAGATGGTGTGGTACGATGGCGGATGGATTAGAAAGTACTTGGGTATGTGGGTTCTGAATCTGGGTTGGTTGGTTGGAATTGTCAAATTAGGCGCAATATGCTCGTGACTGGCATAGACATCCTAGACCATGGGACCGGATTAGGAAAGGTTATAGTGAGATATTAGATACATTACTGTATTAGTTACTACTTCGTAGTTAAAGTACCTATAGTTAATAGTTGCTATATAGTGACTAAGGGTATAGTAGGGTCTAAACTCTTATACTAGGTCTAAGAATTCAAATTATTTCTCTTATTATTAGTCTCCTTAGTGTTACACTACAAATCCCAGGGCCTAAAGAGACTACATGTAAGGCGACCATTATGACCATATTCCATTACCCAAACTAATCCCTAACTCAAATCCTAACCCCAACCCTAACCGAACCCTAGCCGACCCTATCCGCTAACCCTACTTGGCTTAGTCTGTGCACGGTACTTTTGCCCCACCAATGGTCAGGTCAGGTCAGGTACCCCCCCCAATGGTCGCCTTGACTACAGACTCGGGCCGAAATTAGCCTACATGTGTGAAAGTGAGCAATATGGCAGCGTGTGCGCCCAGGCGCAAGGTGGGGCAACTGGCCGCAAATGCGCCAGTCATTTCTTAGATAGATTTCCCTACCCAAAACAAGGGAAAATAATAATCGCAATCAATCAACGCAAGGGTATCGCTGCCAATGACGCGCTTCAACACATACTTCATCAGGAATTGACTGCTGCAGCTATGAATTGAAGGGTGGCGTTTTTATGCTCAAAACCGCTGCCTGCCAGGGATCTACAGGTATAACGGTATACAAAGTTACAAGGTTACAAAGGTTACTGGCTGTGCACCTCTCTGGAGCTCCCCCACCCAGAACCTTGTTTATTAGGCTAACCCTAACCCTAACCATAACACTATCATCATTGAATACCTGCTGCATCGGGGCTCGTGGCTCGTGCGCAGCTCACGCCGGCTAGCTCGGTCGCTTTAGGTTTGCGGCTGAGGCTCTCCCGCTGCTTAGAGGCACATCTTGGCTCGAGGCACACACAAAGAAGCAGTTGCGCCAACAACCCCAAAATGTGACACCAATAGGATTCAAACCTAACTAACTACGATGTACAAGTACTCCATTTGCCACGCGTCCACCCCAAGAGCGTGCCCCCACGCGCCAGCCACCACAGGTGCTGTGTCCCACTTCAATAGCCGACATTAAAGCGCTCCAGCATCAGGATTTAAACCCCGAGCCTTTAGGGTTTAGCAGTGCAACAGACTTGGGATATCGGCGTCACCAAAGAAGCAGTTGCGCCAACAACCCCAAAATGTGACGCCGATAGGATTCGAACCTAACTGACTACAAGTACCTCCATTTGCCACGCACACAACTGCATGCTTGTCCGCTCTCGTTCTCATTTTGTATATCCCGCACTCCAACATCTCACTTTCATTGTCTATGGACTTATAGGCTCAAGAGGACAAGCTTCACTACACTTCTGCAATCTCCGCACTGCTCGGCATTCTCGAGCTTGAGCTTCACTCTGGCCCGAGGGTCAGCTCGCCGGGGATACCGCCGCACAGAGGCCGTCTAAAATCCGTGTCGCGGCGTTGTCATGGCCGCCAGCCCAGCCGCAGGCGGCGAGATTATCTATGACGAAAAGATACACCAGACCTCTAGGAGCAGCGTGTCCACCACAACGTTGGTGTACGCAAGCCTCCGGAACTTGGACGCCACAGCCGCGCCCGGCAGCCACAAAGGCACTTCCAGTGAGATCGATAGACACAGCAACGCCGAGACACGCTCAGATCACACTGCAGGTGATGCCGGGACGTCTGCCGGCAGACAGGCCGCTTCGACGGGCGAGAATGTGGCCCCAACGCCGGGGCAGGGTGCCGATGGCGCAGGATCATCGCCCAAGCACACACGCACAGCACTCCAGACGACCCTCATTGTCATCTCACTCTGCCTGGGTGTCTTCCTGGCCGCCCTGGATGTCAACATAGTCACTGTGGCCGTGCCCAGTATATCTGCCGACTTTGACTCCACCGCTGGCTACACCTGGGTTGGCTCTGCCTACCTGCTCGCCAACGCCGCGGCGGCGCCCGGCTGGGGCAAGATATCCGACATCTGGGGCCGCAAGCCCGTCCTGTTGACCGCGGTGAGCGTCTTCTGGATCGGTTCGCTGCTGTCGGGTGTGAGCGTCAACATGGGGATGCTGATCGTCGGCCGGGCGGTCCAGGGCGTCGGCGCTGGAGGCATCCTGATCTTGGTCAACATCTGCATCAGCGACTTGTTTTCAATGAGAAGGAAAGGGCAGTTCCTTGGCATCAACGGCTTGGTGTGGGCTCTGGCAGGGGGCTTCGGGCCGGGTAAGTCGGCTTGCATATCCGCGCGGCACTGGGCTGGCACATGGCCCTGGAAACTGACCCCATCACAGTACTTGGCGGCGTCTTTACTCAACGGGCTAGCTGGCGATGGTGCTTTTATATCAATCTCCCAATCTCAGGCTGCGCAATGGTGGTGCTCTTTTTCACGCTTCATCTTCACAACCCCCGCACGGGCGTCAAGGAGGGCCTCACAGCAATCGACTGGCTCGGCTCGCTGACCATTGTAGGCGGCACTCTAATGATCCTCCTTGGCCTCGAGTTCGGCGGTGTGACGTTCCCCTGGGACTCGGCTACCGTCATCTGCCTGATCGTGTTCGGCGTCGTGCTCATTGGCATATTCATCTTGGTCGAGCTCAGGGTGGCCAAGTACCCCGTCATCCCGCTGCACATCTTCAAGCAGCCGTCCAACCTTGCTGTCGTCGGGCTCAACGCCTGCCACGGCTTCGTGTTCATCTCGGTGAGCTACTACCTGCCGCTATACTTCCAAGGTGTTTTAGGTGCAGACCCTCTGTTGTCTGGCGTCTATGCCCTGCCTTTCACATTTGTTGTAGGTGCTGCGGCAGCTGCAACAGGCTTCATTATTAAGAAGACGGGGAAATATGTCCCTTATATCATCTTTGGCTTCGTGTTTATGACGCTCGGCTATGGCCTGTTTCTCGACCTTGACCTATACGAGAACTGGGCCAAGATTGTCATCTATCAGATCATCCTCGGCCTCGGCGTGGGACCAAACTTCCAATCGCCTCTCATAGCGCTGCAGGCCACTGTTAAGCCAAACGACATCGCAAGCGCCACCGCGACCTACGGGTTCATAAGACAGGTCTCAACCTCAATGTCCGTCGTTATAGGCGGCGTCATCTTCCAGAATAAGATGCAGAAGCAGTACCCTGCCCTACTGAACCAGCTCGGCCCGGACGTCGCGGGCATGCTGAGCGGGACCAATGCGGCCTCGAGTGTCGAGGCGGTGTCCGGCCTCCCGCAGCCCCAGAGGGGCATCGCCCAGCGGGCCTACTTCGATGCCATCCGCATCATGTTCATCTTCTACGTGGCCTTTGCCGGCCTGGGCCTCATCCTCACCTTCCTTGTCGGCAGCCGCAAGCTGAGCAAGGAGCACACGGAGCACAAGACGGGCCTGCAGACGCTGCAGCCTGCCAGGGGCCCCGTCGCGGACGAGGAGAAGGGGGTTGGTGGGGCGGGGGCCGGGCCTGCGCCGGCACGCGGGGCTGGAGCAGAGGAGGCTGCTTCTAAAACCCTCAAGACGCAGGCATGATGTGATAATGCCTGCCGAGAGCACGGGCTTTGTATACGAGGTTGGAATTTTCACGTATCTACGGCGTTTCTTAGCATTTTAGCCCTTCAGCGAGTATTTACATTAACTTTAGTAACCTAGGTTAAAAGTAAGGAGGTAAAAAGGACATAGCCAGATTTTATATATATATATATATTTAATAAAAGTTGCTGTATAGCTAGCTATTAGGGGAAAGCTTGTCTAGATTAGTAGCTAAGAGTTCCTAGTGAATAATCTAGCCGGTCAGCTTATTATTAAAGTAAGTAGACATAGTCTTCAAATGTTTCCTAAAGCTACTTAGTAAGTCTATTAAAGTAAGCAAAATAGCTATATATAACTAGGCATAAGGTAAAGTAATATTATAGGATAATAACTACTTAACCTTAGAATAAGCACCTATAAGTAAATAGTAGTAGCTAGCTATACTACTACAGTCCCCTCTAAAAAGTTTAAAAACACCCCACTTACGGTGGCCTCTACACATAACTACCCGATGACTTTAATAACTAATTAAACTGCTAATTTATTAAATTATATAGTAATAGTATAGTTAATTAAAAGATAATTATTTACCTATTAATATTATATATACTATCCCCTTACTTTAATAACTACTTATAAGCGCTATAGCAGTAACTTAATAAGACTCCTAATTATATCTTATAGCACTACATCCTATACCTTCTATAATTTCTCCTTAAATAACTTAATATTTAATTAGTTATTCCTAAGATTAAATACTTTAGGGTATATAATCCTTAGCTTATCCTTTATTAGCTTCTAGACGTACTTAATTAGGTTAAGGTTAGGTAAGTATTAAGGCTAGTTAAGCTATAAAACGTTATGCTATAATAGCCACTAGACTGTCTTAAATACTACGTAAATAGGGGTATTATTATAAATGAAATAACGTATTTCTTTATAAGCAGGTAAAAAACTATTCTCTAGGTAAAATATATAGCTATTTATATTATATACTCCTTATAGTAAGTTCTTATTATATATAAAAAAGATAAGCTAGCTTTAGCCCTTTTTCTATATTATACCTTATACTATTATAGATATATTAGCCTTTATATAAGTTATAAGGTTAATATACTCCTTTTACTAACGTTAATAAGGTAGCTAAAATACCTAAGCTTCTTAGTATAATATATTATTCTAGTAAGAAGATTTATTAAAGAATTATAACTATATAAGAGTTAGTAATAATATTACTTTATAAGGGGTTACTACTAAGAGACGTACTGCTATTAACTCTTCTACTTTTTTAAGCTATTCTTTAGTAAACTTAAGGCGCTTATAGGAAGCTTCTTTTATAATAAATAGCCTCTTTTTAGATCTCTATTTATAATAGTTAGTGTTAGTATATAGTAAGAACGCTCTAGGGGAGGTAGTTACGTAATATTTACGTAACACACTGCCTCCCTTAGTAGTATCTACCTTACTACTAGGGTATACTAACCTAAAAGTCTAGATTTACTTTATAACTAATACAATAAGTAATAACTAATTCCTATAGTTATAATCTATAAAGTAATATAAGATATCTCTTTTTTATAATTAACTAATACTAATTAGTATATAATTAGTTATAAGATTACTACTAATAATAGATTAGTTAGGTTTCTTTTATATAGAATAAAGAGGATTAACTAGCCTATTAGTAGATAGTCCTCTATAAAATTAAACCTTATTATTATTATTACTATTATAATTTTCCTTACTTCCTTACTTTATCTTAACTAAATTCTTATTAATAATAAGTAAAAAAGGGAAAAACAAAAAGCTACTACTAGTAATAGTAGGGCTATTAAATTAACTAATAATAAATACTTATTACTTATACCTATTATTATTATTATTATACCTCTTATAACCTCTCTCTTTTTTACTTATATTTACTTACTATATTAACCTATTAACATAAGGTAACTATATTAACTTTAATCTTAATAAGATAGACCCCTAAAAAGTTAGATTATATATAATATATATAATTACTATATAGTTAGATAGTGACCTCTATAGCTATTACCTCCTTAGCGCTTTCTAATTAGACTTTATAGATTAGACTACTACTACCTTTAACACTATAGGTACTAAGGCACTATTAATATTTTATAATTACCTTATTAATAATAAACTCTTTATTAATCTAGTAAAAAAAAGGATTACACTTAAATTAGTAGACCTTCTTAACGCTAATTTTTATATATAGACTAAAGAAGATATTACTTTTGCCTGCTTTAAGCAGCCTATCTTTAACTTATAAATAAAAGATCCTAACTTTATTAATAATATTACTAGTTAGTATATTTTACCTAAGAAGAGGTTAATAATTAAATAAGCCTTATCTACTACTTTTTTAATATTATTATAAATAATAGCTAATACTATATTATAGAGGCAGGTAACCTTATTTACCTTAACTTATTTAAAAACGTTAGATTATTACTAGCTAAAATAGAAGTAAAATAGCCTAACTTTACTTTTATAATAAGATAATATCTAATAAGCACTTACTAATCTAAATTTAGTACTTAAAAGTAATATAGGCACTTTATTTATTAATACCTTATTATATAACCTTAGGACCTTTTACCTTACTTACTATCCTTATTATAGCTAGTATAGTAAGTAATTAAGTAGTTAGCCTATTATAATAAATAAAGTAAATCCTTAGTAAGATATACTATTTAACTTATTAAATAACCTTAAGCCTACTACTAACCTCCTACCTTAGGGCACTATATAGAGATTTCTATTATAAGGCTATAATAAGTTATAACGTTAGCTACTATATAGATTTAAATTTATACTTATCCCTTCCTCTTAACTATACCCTTATTAACTAACTAATTTTATAAAGCTACTAATAGATAAAACTAAGTATAGTAGTAAGTTATATAACGTTTTTAATCTTAAGTTAAGTATTTTTTAAGATAATTATAGTAAGGTTAGGATTAAGTAATACTAGCTTAGTCCTACCTTTTCTATTATATTAAAGAGTAAAGTATTCTAGTTCTATAGTAACTATATCTATAGTAATAGTATTTAAGATTTTAATAAGATAGGTAACTAAATTTATAACTACTTTAAGATATAAGAATAAATATAGACTTACTTATTTAAATAGTAAGAAATAATACTACCTTAAGGTATATATAATAATCTTATAATAACTAAGATCTAAGCCCTTAAGGAGCTTATTATAAAACTTACTCTTATCTAATAAGCTCTTCTTTTATCCTACTAAAATAATAAAGTGTTAAGAAGTTAGCTATTAAATACCTACTCTAGAGTTCCTAAGTGTAACCTTTACTTATACGCTTTAGCTATAATATTAGAAGGAGTATATAGTTAATTATAATTATTAATTAGTACTACTATAAGATATTCTTACTATAGCTAGTACCTTACTAAATCTTTACTTTTATTACTTAATAATTAATATTAAGTAGACTACACCTACTAAGGCTAAGGCTATAATTAATAGTTTAGTAGTAACTATAGTAGTAGTAGTAACTATTACTATAATAATAATAATAGTAGTAATAGTAGTAACTATAATAGTAAGAAGTACTATATTTATTATAAGCCTAGCTACTAGTTAATAAAACACACTACTAATAAAAGATATAAAGTATACTAGTAATTTAAAGGGAATTAGTATATAAAAAACACCTTAACTACTATATATAGCGCCTTCCTTACTACCTATAAAGGTATAGCACTATAAGAAGAAGAAAATAAAGATAATAATAATAATAAGGATCTTTAATAGTATCTTTAAGAGGCCTACTTTATTATTAGTAGTAATAAAGAATAAGATAATAGTGTATTTTACACTTTAACTATATTCTTTAGTAGTACTAAAGTAAATAGTAATACGCTTACTACTAACCTTACTAACTAAGCTATTTATTACTAATTAATAAAAATTAACCCTAATAGTACCTCTACTAAGTCACTTAGTACCTTTATACTAGATTATTACTTATTAGCTACCTTTTAAGGTATTTTACTAGATATAGGTATAGTAAGTTATTTAACTATAGGCTACTTATAAGCTATTATACTATAGTAAATTTAACTATTTATAACTATTAACACTATAGCTATAGGTAAAGTAAAAATTAGATTTAGTAATAGTAATACTATTACTTTATAAAGCACTATTATAGTAAAGACTCCTTTTAGGTATATTACTTTTTATATAATACCTACTAATACACCTTTCTTACTCTACTTAGCTAATATAAATTAGCTATTAATTTAATTTAATAACCTTATAAATACCCTTTAATAAGGTAATATTATAGTGCTAGTTATATAAAAATAAGGCTACCTATAGATACTACTTAGCCTGCTTAAGTAA